TTGCATTCGTGAGCACCCAGCAGGATGATGATCCTTACCAAATGGCTTTATAAAAAGAAAGCGGGTAGCAAACACGCAGGTTTTTAAAGTGTCTTCTTAATGCAGACATCCTTAGGAGCTGTTTTAAGGAAAACGTACGTAAATTTAGTCATCCAAAACTTTATACTTGCTTTTATTCAACTCGTCTAAACTTTGACAGCAAGGAAAAAACTGCGAAAGGCCTTTTTCCTGGCACGGTTGCTGTTTGCAGAGTTGGGTTTGCGTGTTTGCAAGCAGATCTTAGTCTTCAGCTGAAACTTGTTCCAGAAAAGACAACTGTCTTGGGGGAAGGGAGCCTGGGCTCAGCACAGGATTTAGCAGCCTTGGTTTGCTGGTCCCAGAGCTGATACAGCTCCTACTTCACATCTTTTTAACATTCCCTTTTCAAAGCACAGTGGAAACGTCAAATCTCACCGCAGCTTTGTGCATTGCATTGGCCCTCGTTGCAGGTGGAGAAAACAGAGGCTACACAATATTGCTCGAGGTTACAGATGGAGGTGGCTGAGCCAGGATTAGGTTCTGGGGCTGTTTCCCAGGCAAATGGTTCATTAAACCTTCCTGCTTTCTGCGAGATGGGGTTGGGGAGGGAAAGGAAATGTCTATCTAGGGATTCAGTTTGGGATGATGGAAATGATATTACAAAATGTATTTCAAGGACTGGACCAGACGGCGATAGTGAGTATTAGCTATCAGGTGTCAGCTGGAAGCCATGTGTAGTATTGCAATGAAGCTAAGATAGTTACTTATTTCTTTATAAATAAAAAGATATCACTCTCCCTGCATACAAGACAATGCTGCTTCACTTTGTTGCTGATTTAACCAGTATTTAGCAAAAATTCTTAATCTGCACTAACAAAGCGTGGTGTAAGTACCAAGAGAACGAATATCAAGGCTTTAACAAGGAGTGTCAATATTGACACTGTTCTGTGTTGAGGGATATTGGTAGGTTGTTTTTATTATGGTAAGCAACTTGTCAGAAGAAAACTCAGATGGAGCTTTGCAAGTGCCGATAAAACCTGCAGGTGCTATTGAAACTGAGCTCTTGTTCGTGTGTGCTTCGAATATAATTTCCAGTTTCAGAAGTCAGCTTTATGCCTTTCTCATGTCCCTCCTCCCTTGCAGTCTCTCCCACGATGCAGATTAAACCTTCATCCCAAAAAAGAGTTATTGAAGGATTGAACACCTCTTCCACTTGCAAAGAGATCTTCCCAGTCTGATGAGTTTGCTCCATACCATGAAAATTACCCATCACTGACCAGGTGTTGGTATCAGGAGCAGGTTGGACACATCACGCCTCGCTGTGCAGAAACCATGGTTTCTCCTGCAACCTTCTTGCAGTTCCACTTCCACTCCATGCCAGGTCTGCTGCACTCCTTGCTTGATGCCTGTTGGCAGCAGAAGGTTGATTCCTTACAGCAGATGAGGCTATATTATAGCTTGAATGCAATCTGTATCTCAAGCACTGTTTCTAATGCACTGCAAAACTGGAGGTGAATCCTGCCAACAGGTAGCAGCAGCTTGGAGACTTGGCAACTTGAGGAGTTGCAGGTTGTGGAAAGGCAGGTCAGGCTTCCCCCAGCATCCTGCTCACTTGAGACAAGTTGAGTAATTGTGGTGTGTTGGATCTTTAGTAGGAAGTAATACTCCCTTCTCCAGCTGGGTGTTTTGAGGGTGCTTACATCAGTAGTGGATGGGTGTTCAGGTGTGGAAACAATGAAGCTACAGAAGATATTTGAAGCTTGGAGCTGATGTCTGTTCCCAGGCTGGGTGTTTTCTCTGCTGGCTGTAAGCCACATGCTGCTTAATGTCTTATGAAAACCTTGTAGAGACCTTTTAGAAGTGGCTGGTTAGCCATGTTGAGTGGGAATCATGGGCTGGGTTGCATTTAGGTCAGCCAGACATGGCCCTGACTGCCTTAATCTCAACATAAAGGCTGCACAGCCTTTGGAGAAGACAGAGTCATGAAAGTACTGCAAAACTTTCCAGCCAGAAACTGTTCTGCGCTTTGCAAAGGTCTGGCTATTCTGAGAGTGCAGCACTTTCATTTCACTATCCTGTGGGACCCATTTGTGTTTTCTACTCAGTTGTCAACACATTTTATTGGGATACCTATGTTTTCCATGGTTGCAATCCATCAAAATAATGGCCAGGTCTGACCTTGCCTTAGGTTGGGTAATCCCAAAGAGAGATGGCTTCAGGGCATCTCAGGATTTATGAAAGCACAAGCTTCATGGTACCTTTTCTGGTTGCATGCTTACGTGTCGTGTGTTTGCTTCATTCTTCTCATTTTAAACTAATCCTCAAAATGCCACAAAGCAGAATATTTCTAAATGAAAAGAGGATTTCTGAGGCTTAGGGCAAAACATGTTACCTTCAGATATCAGTGTTCCCTTTCTTGACTCCATTTTTAATGGGTGTCTGTAATCGTGTTTCAGTGCTGTGCCATGGTTTCACTTGGGGCAGTAGGTACTCTAGGGCCTTTGGTACAAGACTGTAAAGGGGGAAAGACCCACAGGCTGTGGAGACTCCTGTTGGAGGTGGCCAAACATCCATTTGGGGTGGCCAGAGTTGTTTGGGGAACAGAGTTGCTTTTTGCTGAAGCTCTTGCTCGGGTGGAGAGGCAGCGAGAGCTGTGTCAACTGCAGCTAAAAACATGGCATTTATCGTATGGAGACTTATCCAAATAAGCCTGAACTGGGAGCTAAGTGAGGAATAGGCACTGGTGTGGCCCTTCTCTGCAGGATGAATATTATCTGTTCTCAGTTACATCCCACCCACATAAGAAACCATTTATTTTTAGGTGGTGTTTCCCAAAATAGTGGTGGAGAGGGAGGGTAATTCTGTTTTGTGACATCCCAGCAAGTAGCACCCCAAGAGGTTGTCCTTCCTAAGCCCAGCTTCTGTGGTTAGAAAATACTGGGTATGGGTTGCCTTGTACATCCTCCCATTAGGGTCCTGTGGTTGAAGCACTGGCCAGAGGAGACCTAGGGGTCCTCTCAGCTGGGCTCTTGACTTCACCATGAGCTCCTGTTGTGAGCCTAGGCAAACCTGACTGCTCTGTTCCCCACCTCAGACCAGCAAAGGAGAATAACCCTCCACACCTTGCTGAAGCTCACATCGATGAGCTGCTTCGCTCCCAGGGAGGCAAATGCATGCATCGCTTAAAAGCACAGCCACATGGAGGTGTGTCTCCTGGGATCTGTTTCTGATTTGGCTTGACCATACTTGGGGTTTGAATTTTTCTTCAGGACCGGGCCGTGGGGAGGCTGAGACAAGGGAATGCATTTACTACAACGCCAACTGGGAGCTGGAGAAGACCAACCAGAGCGGCGTGGAGCGCTGCGAGGGGGAGAAGGACAAGCGGCTCCACTGCTACGCCTCCTGGAGAAACAACTCAGGCTCCATTGAGCTGGTGAAGAAAGGCTGCTGGTTAGATGACTTCAACTGTTATGACAGGTAATAGCCTAACTGTTTTTTCTGAATACAGGTTTAATTGTTCCTCTGAGTGCAAAGGCTCATGATTTTTGCATCGAGGAAAAGAAAGTCCAAGTCAATTGGCCCATTCATCCCCTGTAATTACTTCTGTTGCTAATGTAGCTCTCAGAATTGTCACTTATCTGCCTTGACTTTCTAAATAGAAGCTGCAAAAGGCACTTTTAGCGGTTTTTGTTGTGGTTGTTTGTTTTTTTTCCATAGCAAAGCTTTGATAATTCTGGCACGCGTTGAAAAACGTGTCCTGTACCATCAAATGAAGAGCAATATGTTCTTCCAAGAGCATTTGGCGATACAAAGGAAAACTTGGAATCATTTGGAGCTCTCTAGAAAGTCACAGATATCTGGGGGTGGTTAGAGGTTGAGATATTCTGGCATTTGTGATGTTGCAAAAAGTTTCACTGTTCTTCAGCTGAGTTAAGAGATAGGCCAGGAGAAAGAGTGGGGCAGCAAAAGCGATACGCATGTTTGTGTGTCACTGCCTGTAGCAAGCTGAAAAGGAGCAAGGTTTTGTAGCACAAAGACTCCAGCCTCATTAAATACCTGGAAAAATAAACTGGCCTTTTCTCGTTTCCCTTGATGCAATTCTACGGAGGGGAAAAGAATTACAGCTAAAGAAAATAGCCCTCTGAAGTTTCACAGTTTAAAAGGACAACGTTCAGTAGCTCTAGACTCAGTGTTTCTGTTAAAAAACCCCACAATGACCAGCCAACAAACCAACCCACCCAAACCGAACCCTTTCGATAAGGATTAACAGAACGTAACATTCTGGGATTTCCTAGTGTAGGTTGATCTCACCTTTATGCAATTGCCAGCTGCGCATCTCTGCAGCTTCTCATTCCAAAAGTTTTAGGACATCAGGTCCTAAGGCCTGAGGCTTAAGCTGAGACTAGATTTGTCCCATGGCTGCAGAGTTTTCTGTGTTTGGTGCTGTACACTATCCCTGCTTTTGTGCCCGTTGTCTTAGCTTATCCTGACTGTGAGTCGTTCCTCATCTTCCTTCTATTATTAGCACTGGGGTTACTTTCCCACCACACCTATTCCCTTGCCAGTTGCATAGCCAAGCTCTATATATAGTTAAATTTTTATTCTTTCCCGATAAATCAATCCTCCTTGGCCCATTAGTCATCTTAATGTCGATCCTTCTGAGAACAGAAGGTCATTCTTGTTTCCTACTTCCAAGCAGAAGTGTTTACAGTAAACAGATTTCTCCTTTCAGTGCCTGCTCTCGTATACAGTGACACTTGTATTGTCACTGAGTGTCTCTGTGTGGGGATGTAGTGGTTCTTAAACTTTGTCATAATGTGTTGCTCTGTTACAATGGTAAAAAGTTTCCAGGGCTCCTCACAAGCCTTTTGGCAGCCTCAGGGTTGAGCATCCATTATCCTTCAGCCTGATTCTTCAAAGCTGCAGTTCCAGAGCAAAGCTAAAAGATCTTCTGAGAATTAACAAACAGTACAAGTGTTGAAAGCAACATTTGAAATAAAGGTTAGCTTTAATTAAATAAAGGCTGTTTAAATGTCTTTTTTTTTTTTCCCTTCCCCTGGGTGCCCTTAGCAGTCTTTCATGCAGGTGGTGTGCATCCCAAGATGGCAAAAATGGCTAAAAAGATGATTTTTTCATCGATGATGCTGTGCTGACGCCCTTTTTTGTCTCTGTCTTCAGCACCTTTGGATGCTGAGCTCCTGGGTGCAGCCTCGGGAGATGCACCTATACCTGCAAAAGTGTCCCCTGGATGCAGGGCATGGTCCTATTCTGCCAGGCTGCAGCTTGTCTTCAGCACAGGCAGCATGTGCTGGTATGTACCAGGCGCTGCCTCCTTGTTGCTTGGAAGGTGAAAAATTCAGGAGTGCAAGGGTTGGGACGTTGAGGGTGATGGCTTCTTACTCTGCTCTTTATCTTAAGGAAACAAGAACGTGGCACATGTACATTTAAGGTTGTAGGAAAAAGGTACTGTTTAAAAATCGACTTGCGTGCTCTTCGTTTATTTACGCAGCCCCACCGGAGCGGTGGTGTTCACGTTCCCTTGAAGAGCACGTGAA